TAACACTTGTCCTTTTTTCCTTAGCTCCAAAAATAATGGTCTCAGTTTTGTCTTTGTTTAATTGCAAGAAGTTCTGGCACATCCAGTTATTAATTTGTTCCATGCACTCCAGTAGGGAGTTAATTGGTGCAATGTCATCATGGGAGAGAGAGATGTATATTTGTGTGCTGTCCGCATAGGTGTGATACGCGATGTTGTTTTTTTGAAGAATTTTGCCTAATGGGAGCATGTATAAATTAAATAAGAGTGGGCCCAAAATTGACCCATGAGGGACACCACACTTCATGCTAATTCGTTCTGATGTAAAGCTGCCGAGGGAAACAAAATAGTCCCTATTTTGTAAATAGGATTTGAACCACTGTAATACTGTGTCTGATAGGCCTACCCAGTTTTGAAGTCTGTCCAGGAGTATGTCATGGTCGATAGTGTCAAAGGTCTAGTAGGACAAGGACTGAAACTTTGCCTGCATCTGTGTTGATGTGAATGTCATTTAGGACTTTAATGAGAGCGGTTTCTGTGATTTGGTTGAAATCCAGACTGCATATGGTCGAGCAGGTTACCTTCGGTTAGGAAATCACTGAGTTGTTTATAGATTATTTTCTCTATTATTTTACCTATAAACGGCAGATTTGAAATAGGGCGGTAGTTGTTCAGTGTGGTGGAGTCAAGACCATTCTTCTTCTGTAGTGGTGCAACCAGGCCTGGAATTTCGTCATTTTAGGGCCACTTGGCCTTCTGTGTTGTCAATTTTTTGAGGACACAAAGGCCAAAAGCCAGGGCAGGAAGGCCATAAAATAAAACAATGATTTTAAGTCCACATTCATAATGAATTTAAGGACTAAGGATGTATGACTATCTGTGAAATGAATAAATAAAACAAGCTCAAGTAATTATAATGAGTATAATAAGTAATAATGTGATTTATTTAATAGCACTAATAAACCCAATGTGTTTTAAATATAGAACAACCAGGTTCATGTATTTATAAGCAAACAATCTTAAATATAAAGCCTAAATATTTTTTGAGTGTACATGATAAACTGATTCACTGAACAAGACTGGCTTACAATTAGCCTATTTTTGATGTATTGTTAGATAGCTAACAAACAAACAAACTACAGCAGGGCTATTCAATTAGGCTACTATTTCAACTGGGCCTCATTTCAAAACCAGATAATGTCGACGGGCCACATTTTTAACAGCGAGCAACCGATCCACTTTTTTTTTTTGCATACATATATATATTTATATATACACAGGCATGGCCCTCCTCAACATGATGCAGAAACAGACTAAAAAAGAGCTATCAATGCACAGAAGCATAATAAGTGACATTAACAGTGGCGTGTGGCGTGTGTGTATTTCTTGTGTATTTTACCAGTTTGCTTTTGAACTTTTCCTTTGTATTAGAATGATGCTTCAATCAGAGATGCCATTGTCATTCCTGTTTGGAAACCTGGGCATTTCCTGCTCTCTGTAAGTAGTGATGCTTCCTGTAACAGGTGGTTTGCACGTCACGGAAAATTTGTATTAAATGTTAACAAAAGTATCTTCATTTTCTATTACAGTACTGTTGTTGTGTTGTCCCCACACAATGTTGAGTTCAAATGTCACTAACTACAATTACAGGTTTTGAAACCAACACCAAGAGAAACAGTCTTTCTTGATTCCTAGGATTTGGTGATAAAGAGATGAGGGGACTGCTGAGGTCACTAACAAAAACTTTTTTTGTGTGTGCTTTTTGGAGTTCATGTTCCAAAGCTGTTCTAAAGAGTTCCGTTTTTTGTTTTTTAACCAGATCATGTTCAGATCTGTGTGATAGCCTTTTTATGGTGCAACATAAGTATAATTGTAGTTTGTGTATCAAATCATGGTTATAAATTTTATATTACTTTTACAGATTTAACATGATGACCTACCAACATTAACATATTTCATAAAATTGAGTCAAGAAACTGGCACCATAAAAAGCCTGTTGAAATGATGTGTGGAGTGTGACTGCATGGAAAGGGATGCATGAATGGTCTGTCCCAAATCGGAATCAGTGACGCATGTTCATGAAAAGAGCCCATATTGATAATTTTAATGACTATTATTTATCTTTAATGCAGCTGTCTTTTAGAAACCTTTCCCAGTCACTAAATCCTGGCAACTGGATTACCAATTCACGACAACCATATGGGATTGACCGTGGCATCTTCATGTTGATGGTAGTAGACATTATTTGTCTGGTGTAATTCTGTGTGAGTTAAAGATATCAGCATTAAATTTAGTATGATTTATTCCTAGAATGCCCTTTACACCACACTGGATGCCCCCTATGACTTTTCTATGGTAAGTTGATTCATGCAATCAAAGTAAGCTCAAAATTACAACAACAAAACATTTATTATGACATATAGTGTGAGTTTTGTTTTTTTGTTGATCTTCATTTTTCAGATGCACATGCCACTTTTGCGACAGTGGTGGTGTATCATCCTTATGGAATATTTTGACCTTGGAAGGTGAGACCGCAAAGATTTTGATATTTGATTGACTTGAAGTTGTTACAAGAAATTTTTATTTATTTATTTCTATTGTTCAATCATTTTTTGAGCCATGGAAAGCTGTTTGCCCACTGGACAGATGCATCAAAAGCTCTCCTGCGAGGTGAGGTGCCACCAGTGTTTAGGCTGATGAAAAGGAAGGTGGATGACATTACTGAGGTCAGATTTTAATTTTGTTTGAGTCCCATCTAAGTTTTTCTTTTGTTTCAGGTCGGAAACCAGCATTTCCATTTCCCTATTTTTTTTTCAATCTTTTTTCCAATTGTACTGCAATTGTGGGGTTGCTTTAAATAATATGCCATTGACAAGTTAAGGTCAGATCTGCTGTCTGCAATTTAAAAATAAACAGTGTCTAGATAATGCATGATTGGATTGGAAAATTAACATTTGTTGAGCTCTCTAATATGTCTAGGTGGACATATTAGAGGAGGGCACTGATGGGATCTTTTCTTTTTTTTCTTTTTGGAGCTTGTGTTTTGAATATTACAACTGATCATTTTGCTTATCTATATATTTTCAGGAAGAAGAGCAGCAGGCTGAGGTCTCAGTCAGACCTGCCGATGTGGACACACCAGTGGAAGGGGTAAGCTTTTTCACAGTATCTATTGGTCAGATACTGTTGGTGCAGCAGCTATGGTACAGACATCTTTCTTTCTGTCTTTTCCATAGGACTCAGTTGAAGATCGCATTCTTCATGATTGCAGACATGCAGCAGAGTGGGTTGAGGCCAACAAGCGACTGTTCTCTGCCAAAGTGGACCTGCCTGATGTTCTGTGAGTGGGGGAGGAGGAACAGGCTGAGGCTGCTCTGCAATATGGGAGGGTGTGGAAAGAAGAAGTGGATGAGCATGAAAAGGAAGCAATCCTGGAGCCATTCAAGTTCACATTTTACAACATTGAGGACATGTAGAAATTCTGTGAAGAAATAATGGACCAAATAAATTATTTGGCCTATTGTGAATGTCACACAGATGAGTGAGTTTATTTTGTTTGAGAATAAAGGGCTACAGAACATTTGATCATGTTGTGACTTGGTGTGTTTTTTATATTTTTCTCATCGATCACTTAATAATTCACTTGGATTATACTGTAGATATCAAGAGTTGGGGTAGTATTTAGTGGTACGTAGGTGTTCCAGCAGCACAAGAACATAATTAGCAGACATAGAACCAAACATGAAATTTATGGTGGTTAAGAATAAAAATACAGAATAATACAACAGAAAAACAACTTGAAAAAAATATATAGAAAAAGAGCAGTGCAATAAAGTCAGTTAATGATAATGAAGTGGCAGCAAAATATACTGTATAGTACACAATAAAATAATGTATAGACCTATGACATCTTATGAGATGTTGGCTTATGAATATGAGTAATAACTTAAAGAAAATTTGTGCACTGACCAGTTATTCCTGCCCTCCATTGTTTTCATTGATCAACTATTTGACCTTCTCTTTTCAAGATCCTCAGCTTTATAGTAGGCTACAAATAGACAATTGAGCCCAGAGTCATATCACCCACCATTTGTTTTTCGTAATGACTAAGTTGTAAAATTACGCAGTGCAGTGTATATTAGTCTACATACAATCATTAATGAGAAGTGTTTTGCAAAAGACAAAGGCTAATGCTTTAATTGTCTGAATCAAAAGCTTTTTTTTTTCCTTTAATTAATACAGGTTATGGATGGCTTTTTGTCCTAGATTTGGAAAGAATAAATCAAAATGCCCACATTGGGGCTCATGCACAGCATAAAAGGAAAACACAGAACAAAAACAACAAACAAAACAAAAACAAAAGTTTACTATATAAATATAAACTATATATACTATAGACAAGGACTTGATAGATTTTACGTCATATTGTTTACTAATTAATGCATTTGTGAGGAGAAGGATTCGACCCTAAGTGCATTCGCGATTTTATTTTGAAATGTATCCCATGCATTTCCTGTCCTGACAGTGGAGGTGGCCTGAGATAGAATGTAGTGGAGGGTGTACGCAGGTATACCCATCTCTTTTTCTGACTGTTTACAGTATACCCATCTATCAACCAAAACGCCATAGGAATATGAGGGTATACCCACTTCCTCCTTGATAACTTACCCATCTACTTAGTAGTAACCATTCCGCTACATCACTGGAACTTCTACAAAATTGACAGTGTTTAGATGTCACAGCTAAGAAATTCTTGTGATTGTTGCCAGAAAAGTGAGGTTATAATTGCCAACACACACACACACACACACACACACACACACACACACACACACACACACACACACACAATTCTCTGCACTTTCTCTACTTGAAACCACGTGTAGGGTTTCAGCCTCCAACAGTGACAGACAGCTTTACTGACCAATGAGAATGTCGGGATTTCTGCCAGGGTTTAATGGTACCCATCTGACATCAGTAGAGGCCGGCCCGAGCTTTGTAGGCGTGCCCTGCGCCGGAGAGACGGCAGCTTTTTGCAGAAAATCAACAACTTCTCAAAGCTTCGGAAAAACTGCGTCGTCCGCATAGTGCTTTGCGAAGCGTTTCAGTCCACTTCCAATCAAACCACCCACTTCTTCCATATATTCTACCCTGCTTCGCTTTAACATGCACAACAGCTGTATGACTCATATGCTCCTGTTTCTGCTCTGCATCGGATTGGGTGGTAAGTATGCTACCGACTTCGATCTCTTTATGTATAGCCTACGCTCTTTCCTGTATACGCCTGTGTCTTAAATATAGGTCAACTACAGCAATCGGTCTCCTCAGTTTTACACCTGAATGTGTGAGGCTACCAAAGATCTATTTGAGGAAGTACACTAACGTTTCCTCCTGTATAAATTGTTGTAAGATTAGCTACCACTGACCGCGACTACAATGAGGAATCACTGCAGATTTTTGTAAATGAAGAGTTGAGCTGTGAAGTTGAACGTGGCTTCAGGAGCACGGAGCATGAAAGCAGTTAAGTCAGTTCACCGAGTCAGGACAGAAGGCTAGTAATGCCAACCGTAGCCGCTTTTTGATGGAAACTGTCCTTTCCCACAGACCAATATGAGCTGGAGACAGATGAAGTGGTTCCCAAGCTGCTGTCCGGGCAGGAGGCGCACCTGTCCTCCAGTGTCCACATACTACGGCGCCGCGGTCAGCGCTCCCTGGTCGCCCCGGGGGGAGGACACTCTGACCCTGATAACATTATTCTGTCACTGCCGGCTTTCGGAAGGAACCTGTATTTAAATCTGACAAGGGGCAGTACCTTTCTCTCGGGGGACTTCGTGGTGGAGGAGAGACGCGGGGACCAGAGCGCAGCTGTGAGCCGCTTGTCTATGAACCCTCTCTGCTTTTACTTCGGCTCCATCATCAACCACACTGATTCTCTGGCATCGATGAGCACGTGTGGCGGCCTGGTAAATCTATCTATATTTTTTGGACTTAATGATAGGTTTCATGTTTTTCAACCCAAGCTGTTGAGCTCCAGACTATTCAATGTAATGACCTGAGAGGCAGACTGAATTACAGCAGTGTGGCCTGGTAGAGACTCTCCATGTTAACAGCAGCCACTCTGCAGAAGTGCCGCTAAGCATTGCATTATGTTTAGCTCCTGCCTCATCAGTCACTGTGGGTAATCTCTTACACCTGTCAGTAGGTCAGTCAGTTCAAAGTCTCACTGTGCAGCCAAACGCTGCTCAAAGCCACATAACTTTAGTTTAAATGCTTGTCATCCAAGTTTCCAAGATAAACCTGTCTGGCTGAAATTTGGGGAAAAGTGTCTAAAATGACACAGAAGACATGTACAGTATTTACATTTTTTGATGAAACGCTTAGCTTAAAGCTAAGGAAAACCAAAGAGAAATAATGTCAAGGCTGTGAATAAAACACTTATTTCAAGTTCCACTGACAAGCTTTCGGTTCATAAAATTCATGGTTTCGTTCAATATGATACAGTGGTGTCACAGTTTGATACATTGTTGATAACAGCAAAAAATCAGAAATGCCAGAGAAATTCCCTTGATTTTTAAAAATTTGTGCTGTTTTTGTTGTAAAGCAGGAATTGCGGTTTTTTACTAAAATGGGTTTCTTAAAGTCTGGGTAAAGCAATATCAGTGATTCTTTCTTAAAGGAGACCTATTATGCTTTTTTCAGGGTTAAATTGATATAAATATGTAATATTGGGCTCGATTGGAATAGATTTATGTGCTTTAATGTTCAAAACACACATTATATGTCTTGTACTGCTTACTGCTGCAGCACCTGTGTCTGAGCTGTATTTGGGCTTATGTCCTGCCTCCCCAGCAGCCCAGTCTGCTCTGATTGGTCAGCTCGATCAGTCTGTTGTGATTGGTGCAACACTAAAGTGCAACACACACCGCCGCCGTACGCCGCGCGTCAAAATGCCCGCCTCCATTATATTCTATGAACCAACCCACACTGACACCGGCCGCCGCACCGCGCCGCCGCACCGCGCCGCTCTGTTTCAGCCCACTGCTCTATTTCCAGCGTGGCCGGCGCTCATGGCGGCGCTGCGAGAAAAGCCTTTTATGTACGTCTCCTCTCGTAGGATCAACTCCGGTTGTTTCAAATTTTTAATAAGACGACTTTGATAAGAAACTCACCCGTGAAATTCAAGTTGTTGTTGCCTCAAAGTTTTTCCACTTCTTCTTATGTTACTAGCAGTTGGCAACCGTTGGCAATTAGTGTAGGTACAGCCACCTAGCGGGCTGGGGTGGGAAATACATGTTGACGGTGCCGCTGTGCGCCGCTTCCAGTGTGTGTTGGGGGACGGCACTTGACGGCCACAGCGCCGCGCCGGCGGCGGTGTGTGTTGTACTTTAGAGCGTGTGTTGGAAACGTCACGCCCCTTACCTTATCAGACTTGACCTCCGAAGGATGGCGCAAAACAACAACAGAGGCTGAGCTAACAATGTCGGCTGTTCACCCTCATCAATTTGAGTGAAGAAACACAAGCCAATAGACTCCGAAGCGGCTGTGCGACGAACACTGGAGCCAGATGTTTCTCCTCAGTGGTAAGTTTTTATTTTGTAGGCGTCTTATATTTCAGCTGTAACATGATAACTGTAAGTTATCTGACATTATGGTAACAACTGTATGTCTGTTCTCTGACTGAATGAAGTTGGAAAACGTCTGCTGCAGAGTACAAAAGGTTTCTAACAATAAAGTCAATTACTACATAACGTGGAAACACCATTGGCAGCACTCAGCTGTTATATGATGTGGTTACATAACATGTAAACACCAACAGCAGAACTCATCTGTTATATGACGTGGTGTAAAGCATAACTCCTTTTTTTTTGTCTAAGCAGGCTTATCTATGATCAGATTTCATTATACCAAAAACCCACTTGTAGAGAAAAGACAAATAAGTCTTTTGTCAAAAGAACTTTATTTTTAGCAAATGTTAAAAAACAAAAACTACAAAAAACTTACTAAATAATATACAGTAGATAGATATATAAATGTAAACACAGTAGCGTTTTATCTGCAACACTAATAGTGTCCAATTCTTTCCATTCAGGCGTCCATCCTGTCCTGTGTTGTACCACAGATACGCCACGAGTTTCCTGCTCCGGCTGGTCACTGCGTTGGCCCTCATGCTGCCCCTCGGCTGAAGTGAGAGACATGTAAGGCAACCACTTTCTCCTTTGAGGGTCTCTCATACTGGGATGCCAGGTCCTTTGGGATGGGGATTTGTGGGAAGACAAGCCTCTTCAGGTCGTCTACAGTCTTGTAAAATATTGAATGTAAATATTGAATTCCTTGTGTTTATAAATTAAGTGTTTCCCTGAATCCACCTTTCTTGTATATATTTCAAGTGTTACCACAACTATTTCATTATCTTTAATCTGATGTTATTATGTTGGTAATAATAAAAAAAAAAGATCTACAGATTACTGCATAACATATAGGGTCTGTTTTTACAGCCTTTGCTGAGGGTAAAACTAAACTAAAAGAATACATTTTTGCTCAGATTCCTCTGTAATAACAGAGTTGCCAGGGTAATATGTTGAGTCATGAGGTACAACTAGCTCTGTTTAAGTTTCTCCCCGTTTCTCCTCCAACGCAACACAAGGTCTTGTACTTTGTTTGAAACCTTTGCCCTTTAAAGGTGTTGATGACAACTGAAAGAAAATATGTGTATGTATGTGTCTGTCTATCTATCTATACATATATATATATATATACACACACACACACACACACACATATATATATATATATATATATATATATATATATATGGTATGCTGTTCAGGAAATTATTATATAAATATGAAGTTTGAATATATTGAATGAATGAACCTTGAATATATGGATGGATGGATGGACCTGCATTTGTATAGCGCTTTTCTAGTCATCCGACCGCTCAAAGTGCTTTTTACACTATGAGTCACATTCACCCATTCACACACACATTCATACACTGGTGGCCGAGACTACCATACCAGGTGCCACCTGCTACTCAGTTGTTTTTTTTTTAAGTCACTCACACCGATGGAACAGCCAACGGGAGCAATTTGGGGTTCAGTATCTTGCTCAAGGGTACTTCGGCATGCAGACAGGAGGAGCCGGGATCAAACCGCTGATCTTCCAATTGGTGGACGACCTGCTCTCCCTCGGAGCCACTGCCGCCCAATATTGAATGGAAGTACGAATATATGGAATGAACCTTGGATATATTGAACGGAACTTGAACATATGGAATGAACCTTGAATATATTGAATGAATGTCTGAATATATTGAATGAACTTTGAATATATGGAATGAATGTCTGAATATATGGAATGAACCTTGAATATACTGAAAAAATATATATATGAAATCTGACGTCATCAAGGCACTAGCGCCATCTTGTGTTTCCTATGTTTGCTTGTATTGGATGCTGCAGCAACAGCACAGTAAATATGAGTGAGTTGGCGAGAGACATAGTGGCGACAATTTTAAGCAATTAAGACATAGTAATTTCCACATTGGCTAATGCACATGGTAATGTTAACCATACCCAATACCGCAGTACGGTATGAGGTGCCATTTGTAAAGTGGCTTGCACTGAAATTAACAGCAACGTTTTGCCACATTTAGCTTCAAACAATGTTTTAAAAAGTGGTGTGAGTTTTTTAAAGTCATTTTTTACCACATTTACAGCAATATTTGAAATATGTTAAATATAATGTCACAGTTAAATCTAAATATTAAATGTTAAACCTAAATGTTAAATCTAAACCTAAATGTTAAATGTTAAATCCAAATCTAAATCTAAATGTTGAATGTTAAATCGAAACGTTGAAATTACTATGTCTTCATTGCTTAAAATTGCTGCTACTATGTCTCTTGCCGACTCATTCATATTCACTGTGTTCTTGCTGCAGCATCCAATATGAGCATACAGAGGAAACACAAGATGGTGCTAGTGCCTTGATGACGTCAGATTTCATGCCATATATTTTGACTTTCGTTCAATATATTCAAGGTAAATTCCATACATTCAGACATTCATTCCATATATTCAAGTTTCGTTCAATATATTCAGACTTTCATTCATTCCATATATTCAAACTTCATATTATAATAATTTTCTGAACGGCATGCCATAATATGTGTATGTATTTATATCTATATGTATGTGTGTATTTATATCTATATGTATGT